GTCATTCAGACACGATGTGATCTACTCACAATGGTCAATCACCTCATGAATTTTAATTGTTACAATCTTAACAGTGACTATCAATTTCTGTTCTGAATAGGAATTGACGTGGAATGTTAGTCCTACGATTTTGATCGTTGATCTATTACAAAATTCCTTGGAAAATAATTGGATGAGTATTTTTAAATCTTTGACAAGTAAACCCCTAATGACTGATGCTTTTATGCACAGAATAAGTGATACAACATACTAATTCATTGCCGAACACTAATTTGAACCTTCCAGATAGGTTGTTAGTTCCGTATTCCCATCGTTTCAGTTCTAATGCGTTTGGATTGCCGTTACTTTAGCGCGTTAGCGCTGTGTATATTAGCCTGTAACGAGTGTACATTTTCGCTTAAATAGTCAAAGAACGAAAGTATTTAGTCTGAAAAGAACAAATACACGTGTTCTAAAGTATAGTTGAGATGGTATATTACACTGGACCCCACGATTGGAGGGCGGTTTCTGGCCTCCGAGCATGCAGAGTGAGTAATATTTATGCCATATTACGTTTACTACTCATAAGTAGTCATTTGTATTTATAAAATATGTTCGGGTGCTTAGTCTTATTTTCCCATGCTCATAATCTCGGAAATGTCACCAAAAAAGGACTACAAGTTTTTTTATAGCTGGCTGTAATCATTTGTATCCTTTAAGGGTTATATTTGATGAAACATGGCCCTGCGGAATTTTCTAAACAGTTCGTTAAACAGGGTCTCAATCCAAGGATTAAGAACATGCAGAAATTGAATGGGTCACATGTACATTAACGATACACATGAACCACTAAAGGTAAAACTAGGACACATAATTAGTAGATTTTCTGCTGCGTGTAATAGTCTCTTTGACTGCGTTTCACAATATACCGTAATTAGTACTATTTTATTTTCTGGCAAGTTCGTTTCGTAATATACCTAGCCACTGAGCTAAGAAGGTCGCACACCTGAAACAGTAGTCGGTACAATGATTTTCAGAAGGCATCAGATGCTTCAGAAGTTATCAGAATAGAAATATCTTACCGATGAAAGACGGGCACTCTTAAAGAGTTTCCGTATTTGTTCCCCAAATTCTAGAATAGTTAAACCGTCGTTTTGTTACTTTCAAAATGTTGGTTCTTCAGGAAGTGCTCTTGATATATTTTTAGGTGCACCGGAAACACATCTCATTTGGGAAGGGAATCACAAGCGTTTAAGCCTGAACCAATCAGATGTTCCGTCTTGCAAAGGTAAAGACTTATACGGACCAATCATAAAAGCACAATTGATGCAGTAAAACAAACGATCAATTCAAACAACACTTTCCAACACAGTTACTTTTTCGAGTTATCAGCAGTATTCCGCTAAAAATGCACCGAAAAGGATGCACTAGTTTAAATAAGCTTCCCCTATTTGTCAGCCATCAATTAAAATAATGTCCGCACACCTGACGTTCTAAAACGCCTCTGGTGTTTACAATGCGCGTTTGGGGAGGAAACTCTCACGTCAATTGACCTCTTCACTTACTCTAGCAGTCCAAGCACAACTGTTTTGACCAACTATTCGGGATCAGTGTCGTTGACGTCATGAAATTTGGTTTAATTGTGAGATACGCTCTTCAGTTGAATGTATTCGCAGAAGGCTCTTGTAATGACTCTCCATGGCATGTAAAAGTTTGTTATTGTATTCCGCCAAGTGCCAGATGATTTTGTCAAAGAGTTCTCTTATAATTTCCAAAATCGTGACCAATTGAATTATTTCTGATCATTATGAGCCTCAAAACTGGGCGAAAAACAACACAGGTGAATTACATTCCTACTTGTGCTATGTCAACGTTCCGTATTCATTGATGTGAAATGACAAACAACGAGGAGTCTCCAAAATCGTCCAATCAGGTGAATGCGTTGGTGTCCGATGAGGTGCGAGTATGCAGGGATCAATGTGAACGGTGAAATCTCGGGAGTGAAGAAGAGAAGAGATCAGAGACTTCAAAATTTCATGGGACTTTATCTTAAATTATATTTTTTTAATGGAATAATAATACAATTAGTTTGGGCTTTTCAAACTGTTACTTTGTGACTCTGAAACGTTGTTTGCAGATTTCAGTGTAGTCGGTAGAACTGCTACTAAAAACGGCTGAGCTGCAATTTATCGAATCATCATCGTTCCACGCCGTCGTCCACCACGATAGACCCTGTTGTCAAATCAGCGGATGCTATNAGATCACCGATTGCATAATCCTAACCCAGATGTAGTTCTACTGATTTCAGTTATAGACTAGGAGTGATGCTAAGTGATATTGTCCCGTGCACATTCGGAGGCAAAAGCAATATTTCAACTGACGTATTCATTCATTGGGATCTTTGTAAGCCCATATACGTTTTTTCTTTTAGCTTATGTCCGACTGTTTGTTTTCACCCTTAGAACAATTGTTTATTTGTTTCTCTTCTCGTTGATCAATTAGATACAATAGGTCGGATGAACTCTAAGCCGGAATTGTTTTCGTTTTGTGTGAACGAATTCCCACTTACGTTATTTCTCCACCTCATGTTCCCACCTATGCACCTTTCTCTCTGTGGCGTGTGGAAACAGGTATGGTAAAAGAAGTACAAAAGCTGATCAATGAGAACATGGAGTTAAGTGCGACAAAGTGAGTAAGAGTGGTACTCATTTCTTTGCCCCCCGTTCTCTCTCATTCTGTTAGTTTTCTCCCAATCTATTTTGTTTGATCCCAATGGCAACAAACACTCCTGTTTTTCTTTTCTTTAGGAATGCGCTAAACGTAGTGAAGAACGATCTCATTCGCAAATTGGACGATGTTACCGGGTAAGAGTCTTTTGCGTGGATTCTGTCCATTTTATACCCGTGTTGACCATTTGTTTATAAATTGAGCATCTCCTGATTTAGTCCGTTTGTAACAGTTTTGCTCGGCACACACCCGAGACAACAATGTCTTCCTTCCTTTCTTTCTTTCTTGTGAATTCGCTCCGAGGGGATTGTGCGTGGGAGGTGGGGGTGGGGGGTGTTGAGAGAGTACACGTTCCCAAGTTGGTTCCTTTTCCTTATCTCATTGACCGCTTTCCGGTTTTAAAGAGAGATTCTAGTAGTCAAATACAAAGAGCTATTGTCGTGTTTTTGGTAACGACCGCAAACAAAGAAGCTTTCTAAAACGTTTGGGTTCAGTACACGACGCAGAAACAGCTATGCTTCAACGTAAACCATGAGCTGTACACAGTGCTTATATTCACGTTGCTCAGGTCGGTAGGGTCGCAAACTCACCAAGATTGTAACGCTCATTGAGAGGACGTATCGATCATTGTCGGTCCTATGAACGCAAACAATTCCTCCCAATCCTTGCTACCAACCCCAAGGTTGGTACTATTTTTCTATTCCTAATGATAAAAAAATCTGCATAGTGTGTGAGCGCTAGAATTCACTTGAGATCGAGTAGCAAAGGGCCTCAGTTTTAACGAGAAATCGTTATTCTCCCTGGACATCATCCCATTTGACATTCCGTGATCGGATTATGTTTTTTACTTGGGTCGGCGGGTCGCACAATTGCTAACTAATTCTAGCGTTCATTGTAATCGTTTCGGAGGCTCATTCCTGCAAATCGTTATCTTACTTCGTGGCATATTGGAAAACGGTCATTACGTTTTTAACGATGAATAAATGAACATTCCCTTGAGAAAAATGTGGTCACATACGATTAGCGGCTGTGTTTGAAGACATGGCTGGTTTCTGTCTGACAAATGATCTCTCTCTCTCTCTCTGTTACAAAAATCAATAAATTTCACTAACGGATAATGCGACATGTACGAATCTGGTCAGTCATCACAATCATTCTGTTGCCCTGAAGTTAGATTTTTGCTGTTTTTTAATCGGAGATGTTTCCCCATAGAAAAAGAACAGGCTGACTGGTTCAGGAATCTTGATTAGTACTTTATTGTACACAAACTTCTCTTAATTTATGATCTAGACTTATCGCGACCTAAGTTATTCCCTCAATGTAAATGAGGATGTAATATGTAGTTGTTCACCATTATTCAGTTCCAATATGTTAACGCTCATTAGATGGCTTGAGGCTGTTTACTGGTACCGATAGCAAACATGTTTTACATCACCGGTTTTTGTCTCGACTTGTTATGCTGGAAAAGTATGTCCGTAGTGCATGATAGTAAAACACTTTGGAAGAATGTTTTGACGTTTTGTGTTGGGTCACAATTGAGATAGAAGATTTACAAAACTGTATGTTTAAAATCAATCCAACAGGCATCCGGTATGCAAATAAGGCTGCATAGATGTCATCATACCGCATGAATCTTCTAGTTTCCAGTTGTTCGGGAATCGGAACACCAGTATGAGACAACTTCACCAAATGGGTCTGAAAATTGTGCGTTTTTCCACTTAATTTCGCTCCTCAATTTGACTGGCGCTCAGAATGGTCATTGTACGTTTCTAGGATGACTGAATACTGTCTGCACTTGGTATATCAAAGCGATTTATGGCTGACAGCAGTGTCAGCTAGGTCGTTCGAATGCACGAAATGCACACGCTTTTGGACTTGTGTGCGTGATTTTTGTTCGTTCTATTCTGTTTGCCAACGAGCTTGCTCACTGTAGTCGTTGAATGTTCACCCGTTCAAAGCACCGCACACAATACGTTCTCCTTGGTATTGCATCTGTAAAATTTATCGATAGCTGTCATGATTTCCGGACTAAATTAATCATTGTCCATACGTGTCGACTAAGGCACTGACACCTACCCACTTATGGGCAGTCAAGCGAGTGGACACTTGGATACTTTTTATTTCAGATACCACTCTTCTATCCAAGTGTAATCGAGCTTTGTGAATAATTCAACGGGGAATATTTGCAGTAGTGTAGTACAAAGTATCAGCCCAGGTATTTTATTATCTTTTCTCTTCCTCCCGTGTACATCTCCAACCCTTTCATTTTCAAGTGGTACACGTAGGGCAACAGAGTGGTTTCGCTGACCTTATTTGGTTGCATGCCATATTTGCACCTGCCGCAATGCCTATGCAGAAACTTTTGGCTTTTCAGTGCAGAGAGAGCGCTTTTGAGGTGGAAACAAATCACATATTCAGATCTCGCCGATCGTCCGTAGCCTCCGTTTGGTGAAGAAATCGCCTATTCACTATTTATGTAGACATGATTACGAACCTCCCAAAATGTGCTTATTCGTTAACCTGACTTTTGTTTGAAATTTGTCCCAACCATTGTTGTGGCAAAGTTCATTACATTGGTGACATTTGCATAAATGACTGTCTGTCGTTTATCTCCCGCCATAACATCTCGTCATGCTATCTCGGCGGCCTGTTTGTCACCAGTCCTGCGCCTATCGTTTCATAGTTGGCTAAACGGTCTCATTGTACCTACTCATAAGTAGTCAACTTCGAAAGTTGTAACCATAAGGCAAGCTACGCTGGATAGGGGTGCAAACAGATCACCATAGCGTATTTCACAATACATTCTAGCTATTTTTCACGGTTTTTCTGTCAGTTTATCGAAATAAATAGTTCCCAAGAAAACTAATGAGTCTTGCTTGCCCACCGGGCTCCATGAAACATCTCTTACAGTACTGCACAGACGAGTCTTTGAGTGACGCTCATCTCTAGTTTTGTTTAATTTCACCTCGATTGTTTTGATCTTAGAGACGAGCTGTTCGATAGCACTCTAAGTAGTTCTCATGATGCTAATATTGAGCGTGCTCCTGTGAAATAAAATCATTGCTGCTTCAATCATTACCTCTTTCAGCTGTTAGAGACTATGCAACCTGAGGGTATTACCTCGAGTTGTCTATCGCAGTTTCTTTTAGCCTAAGGGACGGTACTTCGACATCTGACGCCTTTAAAAGAGATTAACATACTCGAACGGCAAGTCGAATTCTGGCCTGACCGTGGATGTATTGATCGAATTTGTACGTTGCGTCAGGTCCTTGAGTTGCGTCATACCCACCGTCGACCAACGATCGCAGTATTCCTTGACCTGAAAGGAGCGTTCGACCGCAATGCTCTAATCGGTTCCATTCTTCTAAACGGAATGCCCGAGAAGTACGTTAACTTACTGCGGTCACTGTACTCACATACCCCCGATCCAGTGAGGGTTTACAACCAACTAAGTAAGCTGTTCGTCACCAGCAGCGGCGTTCACCAAGAGTGCCCCCTTTCACAGTTCCTGTTCAATTTCGTCGTAGACGAAATACTGGAGAACGCATTAAGTGGTCTCCAAAACGTAATTATTGATGGGGAAGCTGTGCGATTTGGAGTACGCCGACGACATCTCTCTGTTCGAGTGTACGTATGACGCGCGAAACGCACTCGACGATTAACAAGTGCAGTTGCCACATTCGGTATGCGCTTTGCACCTTCAAAGTGCAAAATGATACTGCAGGACTGGGTTTCGTCTACTCCCGCTCTGAAACTAAATTTCCAGAAACTAATTATAGTAGATTACTTCTGGTACTTAGGTAGCTGCGTGATCAATGACGGCAACGCAGCAAAGGAGATAGCCGCTCACATTTCCAAGGCTTGAACAGCATACGCAGTACTGAAACACCTTTGATGTGGACCCTACATTTCACTGAAGTTAAAAGGTTATGTATATTGTGCTGGCGTTCATTCAGTCCTTGCTTTATAGTTGTGAGACCTTGAATTTGCGAGTAAAAGATATCTGTCGATTAGAAGTTTCGGATTATCAGTGTTTACGTAGTTTAGCCCATGTTGGGTAGAGCGAACGGGTTAGTAACGTGGAGGTAAATCGTCGTGTGTTTGAGAGTCTGTCAGGTATAAACCTGCTGGCACACCGAATTCAGATTAGTAGACTTCGCTGGCTAGGGTACGTATTGCGTATGCCTGCCCATCGTCTGCCGCACCGCGCTTTATTCGCTGTAGCTAATCTGAGCTGGAGGAAACTACGTGGAGGTCAACAGATGACGTGGAGACGAGGCATGAAGAAATGCACAGAGCCATTGGGTAAAGTAGGTGTCTCTCGCCTTCCAGGTTGGGGTCCGAAATACTCCACAACTGGTTGGTTGGAGACATTGAAAGATATGGCGGCGAACCGACAGCAGTGGCGTTCTTGTTGTCGTTTCTTATCAGGTCAGAATGGTTGAAGCGGTATGTATGCAGAGTTCGATTGCGTACTCTGTGTTGACCGCAGTGGTTCATCTTCTTCTCCCTCCCTCAAAATAGATCCAATCCTTGTCCGCCTTAGATTTTACCACTAACCTTGTATGCATTGCGAGTTTGGCAGCGATCAATGAAGTTCGCCTCACTATAGTTCTCTATGCGATGATGATGATGATGATGGTCTGCATTCAAAAACATGTATTGTAAATGAAAGAACAGGATGTGGTTATGCGCTGGAATGACTCTATACACAGACCCTGGTTTATCTGAAAGAGAGCATATTTACTTGAACACACTTTCCACTACTGAGACGGAAAAAAGCTTTATGTATTGCTGTTGCGATGCACGAGCGAAATAAATTGAAAATAATTCAAATTGTGATGACGAGAATGTCAGGGCCATGTAGATTAAAGCACCCCCTCTCTCTGTTCCTGAATCTTGCATGTCATCTGACAAGCTAAACATTTGAAAATTTGCACACTGTTCAGGGGAAATGAAAGTATCCTCCTATGTATCCCCACGAGTTTATCGGTTTCTTTTTTCAAGATAGTATGCCATGTCATTGCTAGTGATGAATCTGTGATGTCCATGGTCAATACTGCACACGAAGAACAATCGTGTGCCATGAACAGCCAACTCCTGGATGATCCTCAGGTGATGCGAACTTTCGAACATGAAGCAGGAAAACACAAATAGGAGGTTGACGTACTCATTATATTCCATACTTTTATTCGAAAGATCTTGCGATCGACGCACTGAGCATCAATCGAGCATCAGTGACATTATGTATATGATATCTCTATCAGTACTAGTGTTCTACTTCTATAAGGCTGTGCTGGTCGAGGATAATTGCTTATTGAGGATTTTGGATGGGGCATCACCAATTGGGCATGCATAACACAAAACATCTCATCAAAAACATTCCATCGCCGTTCCTGGCGGCTCACCGGGTAATGCATAAGGCAGTCTTGAGTTATTCTTTCTGACACATCACTTGGCTCTGGGTGGTCTTGTTATATTTTTGATCATTGAAAGGAATCATCAACTACGGTACCTACTATTCACAAGTGAATAATATCTCAGGACACTAGGGCTGTACAAACGTCTTGGAAAAACCTCTTTCCGATTTATCTAGTTCTTCCACTCAATCCCGAATAACTCCAGACGCCTGTTTATACCACCCATCGAATATCACTCAGTGTTTTACCAGCAAGCCCAAACAATCAGAAGTTACGGGATTCTTGAAGCCGAAATTTCCTTTTCACTTAGCTATGTTCAATGTCCGCACACTATCAAATTGGTCAGCAAGCTGCCTTGGCTAGAATCCTTGAAGCTTTCAATTTAGATGTATGCTGTGTCTCCGAAACACGCATACAAGACCCTACCTTAATTGTTTCCCTTTGTTCTCCTAACTCGACCTCACGCTTCACCCTCTGTGTGTCAGGCGATTCAGTATCCGATGCTCGCGGTGTTGCTGGTGTCCGAATTGCCCTAATTGTCAAGGTCGAGCGTTCACTTCTCAATTGGATTCCGATTAACAGTCGACTTTGCGCCGTACGTCTAGATGGTTCAGTACGCGTCAACAGCTACAGAACGAAGCGTCGGTGCTTATTCGTCGTATCCTCGGATGCACCGACAGATTGCAGTTCACCAGAAATGAAGGATAAATTCTACAAGGACCTGTCTAAACTGCTCCAAAGTGCTCGATCAACGGACATTGTGGTAGTTGCTGGAGACTTCAATGCTCAAACGAATCAGACAGGTTACTTGTCGGTTCGCATGCAATCCCAGCCAACAGGACTGACAACGGAGAACGCCTACTCCAACTTTGTGCTGACCACGGACTGTTTCAGTCAGGCACGAACTTCTCGCATAAAAAACGTCACCGCCTTACATGGAGACCGCAGACTTATTCACAGCGCTGGACTGAAATCGACCACATCGTCATCAGCCACCGCTGGAGAAGATCCACTGAAGACCGCCGCTGCTACTGGTTAACACCCGTGAATACGGGCCATACTCTGCTACGAGCGAGATTCTTCCTACGCCTGATAAACAACCGCCGGAATCGGATGCCCACAATACAGTATCACCGAAAGGTGCAAATCGGCCTTCGAAGCGGAACTATCAGATCGCCTCTTAGCTAAATCATCAGCCGGAGGACTCTGTGAACACTGGTCGGCAATCAAGAAAGCGATTTAAACGTCGATAAAAGCAACGGCAAATTCTGGCGCACGATCAAATAAAAAGCGTTGGATCTCCCTTAACTCGCTTGCCTTGCTGGACGCTCGCTGACCCATTCCTTCAAATTCAAAATNCGAGCAAACCCCTAAACGCCAGCTCATCGAGAGTCTGAGGAATGACCGCGAGACGCGGTAGATAGAGGAGTGTAAAGAGATGAAGACGGCTGCGGATATCGGCAATAGTCACATTCTTTATGGTTTGATTAGGAGTACAGGACAAAGGAAAGCAGACGTAAGTAAGCTAATTAGAGAGTCTAACGGCACACTGATTCAAATTCAGGAACGTTGGGCAGAACATTTTAAGGTTCAGTTCAGCTGGTCCC